TAGTGCTCTTTTAGCACAAAGCTTCGTTAAAAGACTCATATATTTCGTTGCAGCAAAATTGCGTTGAGGTTGCAACACAGTGAGTTATTACATCTTGATAATTGGATAAGAGCTTGCCCAGTGATTTGCATATTCCAGTGTAATGACAGGCTGATCTTGATTGACCGGAAAATGATGGATGATCCATCCCGATAACGGTAATGGTGCCCGCAGGCTTGTTTATGGCCAGAGTCAGGCCTGTTAAGCAGATGATTCTGCTGCTGAATCAGCCGGCACAAGAGAGGATAATCGACTACACGTCACCCTCGATCCGACAACTTCCGTGCTGACCAGGAAGTACAGCGTGTTTCCGGCCAGAGGAAATGCATTTACCAGCGGGACATGTTGTTTTGCAATGTGGACGAGTAATCGGTGTTTACTGACCGTGGCTAAAATAGGCTACTTTCATGCGCAAACGTTACTAACGCTTTTACAAAATAAGTAGAATTACAATAAATCAATGATCAATGGATGATTATACGTAAAATATATAATTAATAAAAGCGATATTCGTCAGTAAAGAATTACTTGAAGCTTATAGAATAACACGTAATATACATATCGGAAGAGCTAAAAATATTTGTCTAATCAAAGTTCAGTCGAATTCCAGTTCTTCAAATCTTATGTTACATTTTTTGCCAATTTTATGCTATATTAACTTTTAGGTTTTAACAGTTTTTCGCTCAAACTCCCTGCTATGGTTGTTGTTCCCACTTTATAAAATGCTTTTAGATCATGGGCGGTGGTGTTGTGCACTGATGCATTGCAGTGGAACATTAGAGGATGGCCATTTCCATATGCAATGGCGTCCATAAAGATGGAAATGTAGCGGAGCGATACAATCTGCTGACAGGCGATCTGCGCCGCCGCGGCCTGTCTCTTCTGCATCTTATTGCGCCATTGCAGCCACTACAGCCATCTTAACCGGGACCGTTATCTGTCCCGCGTCAATCTGACAGCACCGGGCGCTTCCCCTGGGTCGCATGTGGGTTAAACGGGCGATTAATTGCGGCCAGAACACAAACGCCGCCTTTCACGCAGGAAACCCATCCGCGCGCCGCCAGCGCCGGCCACCGCGATCGACGCGCTTCCGCTGCACCACTTCTGGCTTCTCACGCCGGCTCCGTAACATTCCGCTCATGAATGCGCAATTTGTGAGCGGTTTACACGGGAAAAGAGGTAATTGACTAATAGCATTACCATGCTGATTGACGTAATCAAATCTGAGATTACCATACTTCATTTATTGCTGCGCGATAAGAATCACCAATCACAGAGGGCGCTGCTGTCCTAACTAAGTTTCTGCAATGACGTTATTGACAGGGCAAGTAAGCAAGAACTCCGGCAAAGAACACTTAGCATATTTATCAGTTATCAGTGAACGGTAAACCTTTATTTGCAAGACAACGCAAGTGGACGGCAAATCTTCTGTGTACACAAATATCGCACTTCGTGTTCGTGCTGGGTTTACTAACATGACTTCAAGCTTCCGAATTTTTGATGTAATGGTAACAATCACCGTTACCGATTTTTGACCGTTTGAACGGGTCAAACCTATTATTTTACTGGAAGTAAGTGAGACGTAAGATAATGATATTTGCGCACTACTGATTTAAGCAGTTCTTGCCAGGAAGTTATGACCCAGTACGCAGAGAACGCAAACACCGGCCACAAAAGGGTAAACTTTTATCGCAGAAACCGGTGCTCTAATGCCGGTGTGATTACACATCTGGAACACGATGTGGGTCGGGTTGGATGAAATGCGAAATTCCAATGCGAAGCAAGTAAATCCATTAGGTACAGCTAAACACTCACATGTACTGTAACACACATACACTAATCGCACACCTGGTAGCTGCTCCCGAAGGACCCTTGCGGATCAGGTCAGGTGAGGGGAGAGGGCCCGCCCTGACACCTTCCGTCGCACGCAAAGTGGGAAAAGTAATTTTATTTTAATTTTACTCAGTTTGATTTTACTCAATAAGCGGCCCGTTATGCTAACATACGATTTGCACAGAACCAAGTGACTGATAACCACCTTATTTATATATTTGGTGGCTCACGTTCCATAAGTTGGGAAACTGCGTGCGCAGATTAAGCGACCCAGGATGCCTCGTCCACACGGATTAAACGTCCACATGGGACTTGAAATGTACAAGAACATCGTGAGGTCTACCTTTCGCTATCGCTAGCCCATTCGCATTCCAGAAAATCGGTAGTTCAGTACGGAAAAACGACCATTGTTCGAATGCGTTGCGATTTGTGTAGGCGTGCCCGGCATATTCACTGCGCATTACCCACAAAAGGTTGACGGTGCAGTGGCTGCGGAGTTCTCTGTTGACTTGCGTCACATGATGGCTGCCGTCTGCGCTTCTGTTCTTGCCGTCTGCGCTTCTGTTCTTGTCACATTCATTGTCAGACAAAACGCTTGTTGAACTGGAACTGTGAAATGCTTTTTCCGACGGATTTCCCCGAACTGAAGATGTGCCCGCGAACGTAAGGTTGGTCGATCGCTATTGTGATCTTCGGAATCAGATTCTGAGTGGGTGACATATTGGGTAGCCCTAGAACCCAGGTATGCGCCGGACGTTGCAATGGTCCGTTCATTGTAGTACCTGCTGTTTGAGACACCTACATATTATTTCGTGGATGATAGCCAAACCACGAATAACATTCGGCTTTGGGTTTCGCCATTGTTTCTTTGGGGTTGCAATTGAAAAAGTTTTGAGCTTTAAGATTTTTATTATTTTTTATGTATGTACTGCATCTATTTATATAGCATTTATAGTTCTTAACATTTGTACTTTGGCAGTCATCACTGGGTAATTGCAATGATGTCTCAGCTTTACATCCCCAAGACGTTTTATTTAAAAAAAGTACATACCCGTCAAACCAGTTGCAAAATCCTCGCCACTGAAAGACATTTTGAATTGTTGACTGCCAAAGTAAAAATGTTAAGAACTATAAATGCTATATAAATAGATGCAGTACATACACAAAAAATAATAAAAATCTTAAATAATTCGGTTGCGTGCGTAAAGCTGATATTTTATCTGCGATACCAAAACGTTATTGGGTAAAATAGTTAAATACCTATTATCATGATCTAGTGTAGCCGTTTACATGGTTTTGTTTCACTGTCAGTTTTATTACTCTAGATCTATCTTCAACGCAGTTCTGTTATGGGTTACTCGATCGCAGTGCAGTAAGTGTAAGAACATATATTATTTCGCTTAGCACAGCATCTGCTTTTTGTGTTCGTTAGAAAACATTTTGCCAAGGGCGTTAACTTTACACTTGGATTCTTTGCTCGCATGCACTCATTGTCCTTGTACATCGAGCCATCAACTATGTAGCTCAATGTTGCGTTCGAAGGTATTATTTCCGGTAATATAGAAGATGCGAGTACCAAAACATGCTCTGTAAACAATATTAATAGCGTTTTTGAAATAAGATAGTTGCTCGTATTCACGGGTAATCTGCTCTATGTATATGTACAAATATGTAATATATGAAAAAAAGCATACTTCTTGATAATAACAAAACGGTAAACGAATAATTACTTCCGGCGCTTATTGACTCAGCCAAGTCCCGACACAATGATCCACTGAACAAGGCACGCGCGAAATATGGAGCGCACACCGCATTTACCACATGTTTGCCGGCAATAAACACGAGTACACAACATTCACACAGCGGTTTCGTTAAGCAGTTACAAGCTTTAAGCGAACGGACAATTAATATCGTTACGTAACCACGTGCCCGCTGTATACAAAATGCAGCGGGAATATTTTTGGACGTCAAGTTTTTGGATACAACTTTTATGCGAACCGTATTTTCGCTACCGGGCCAATTATTTTCAGATTTCCACTTCTTGCGAAAAACACTTTTCAGCTGACTAACCGTATGTTGCAACTATTGATATGCTAACGGTGTCCAAATGTGGAAATTAAATGGTTTACTGCCGCCGGGCAGCTGGCGCAGCGAAACGGCATCCGCGTGCGAGACTGTCCATATTTAATTTGCTGCCGCTGTTGTTCCTCTTCCTCGGAAACCGACGGAAAATTGGCCGGGTTCTTCCACTGGACCTATTAAGTTACATAACACTCGACAACATAAAAATCATACAATAACGATGATAATAAAAATTGGAGCACGTGCTACGCCCAAATGACACGGTTACTATTGGTTAGTCACTATGCTTCTGGAAAACATGCCCAAAAACCAAAAAGTTTAGGGAAAGTTATTCCACCGCGAATTGTATACCCATATGCGTAAACTCTGATTCTCACTATTATTAATTTTATGGAATTATTTTTTAAAGCGTAGATGGGTGCATTACACAGCCACACTTATTAAGTTTTGTTTAGCTTTTTTAAATGAAGTTTTCAGAAACTTTAAGGAATCTATCTTAATATGCAACTGTTAATTACCATAAAATAGATAAAACAATTTTAGTGCTTATAAAGCGCATTCTAAAGCCAAACGACAATTTGTTAATGACCCTGAACAATTATTTCCCGGCAAAACAAACATATTTTAATTAGTTCTATATGTTTATTGCAATGCCATCGAACGGAAAACGACTGTCTAATTGGTTACAATATAATTTGTCTATTCAGTTTCATGCAAGTTTGCAGACTCACGTTAGCTTACTTGTTAGCACAATGCCGGCGTTTCTCTTCAGCCGCACCCATTACCAGCCTTTTGAACTTGAAGTATAACGTGCAACAGTATGTTCTCTATCGGCTGAAGGAACTGCCGCGGTTCTTTGCTGTTTGGCCGTTGACTTGCTACCGCCGCACTGTCACATTAATAACCCGGCTTAATGAACCGACTTGCCAATTAGGTGGATTATGTCATATCATATCGCAATCGGCGGATATGTATTTTTAATTGCGGTCCGCATTGCACCGGATCGGATAAATACCGGTGTATTAAGCGGCAGTCTGTGTCAGTTGTCCGCTTAGCAATTATTGAATCAGAGCAGTTTAACAATTCAATAAGCCTGTCAAGAGCTTTCCGTGATACTTCCTGTCAACCATGAAGTGCTTACTTGTTCTTGCTGTTATCTTGGGAGTAACCTATGCCACACCAGTAAGTAGTGTCATGTTTTTGCCTTAAATGGACCTAGTTGCTTATACTGTAGCAAGAACTAATCTTACTTGTAACTGAATTTACAACTGTTGCTTATGAAAATTTGCTTATGAAACTACTTTTTTCCTGCTCTTCAGTATAACAGTAGGGCATTGTATAGTATTCCGGACGCAACCCAGTTTAAAATGTAGAAAGTTTTTAATAAAGATGTGTCTTTTTGCTAAAGGTCAAACGCGCCGTCAGCGCTCAGAACCCCCCAGTATGGTCCGCCCTGGACCAGTTAAGTGGCCGGAATAAACTGAGCACAGCCGACATTTATAACCTGTACGTTAGCGCTCGTGCTGGTCAGGATTACCCAACATACAACGCCAACGATATTCCGCAAGGAAACTGGGACTGCTCTGCTCACCAACCAGGCTACTATGCTGACACTGACTTCAAGTGTCAAGGTACGCTTTACAATCCCGGTTACACCTTTGTAGTTCTGAGTTCCTTAAACAAAACTTTCGAGAATTATCTAGTGTTTTCTCAGCCGTCGGTTCGGCTTAGTTTATGCATAATTCGAGCAAAGATGTGCACACATTTAAACGTAATTCTGCCTTTCCGCAGTTGTCCGCCGATGTGATGTCAACGGCAACTTGACCTCGTACATCTGCCCCAACATGACGGTAAATATAGTTCGTTTTACTCCCATCAGTTTGCGCTACGAACGGGGTAATAATGCACAACCTTGACTTTTAGCTGTTCAACCAAATCACCCTGGTCTGCCACTGGTTTTGGGAGGTCGACTGCAGCCAAGCTGCCAAGTTCTACGACTACAGCAACAGCCGTCTGTATCAGGGCGCTGATGTGCCGCTGCTGGACAACCAGGACAACTACCAGGCTGTCAATCTCGCTCAAGGCCGATCGGATTTGTACACTCTGACATGGGATGTTAAGCCCATCGCAGGAAAGGCCGTGGCAAAGGGAGCGGCCAGCGCAAAGGGAGCGGCGAAAGCATGATAAAACCGTTCGATTTCTGACGAAGCTGCTCAAGCGGAACACCACGCCCTTTTTCTGTCTAGTCTGCATTTTTTTGTATTTTACTCTTGTTGGATAGGCTAGTTAGTGTATGGAATGTATGAATGTAAGCTTGAGATGACAAAAAGATGTGAAAAATTTGTCGTGTAATTTGGGCTCGTGACAAGTGCTCGTGGGTGTACGTGAGAATCAAGTAAAATGGCTGTAGCCAAAAAGGTCAGGCGGATCCACTGTACAGACATAGCTAAGTACCGATATGTAAAACTCACAAGAATTGATTGTAAGACTTATGTTCAAGAAGAAAATCTGCAGTTTTACCACAGGAAAAATTAGTTAATATGTAATCTCGTTCGAAGCCCTGCTAACTGTAGCGCGCGATAGCAACATGTACGTGCAAGAGCAACGAACAGACATTCTGAATGGTAAGCATTTTATCATTTTGAATGGTAATCGGTCATTCTACGCAAATTTGTTATTGCTCGAATGAAATTACACCCATACCTGCAAGATTACTATAAAAATAACGTCGTAATTCAAGTGTTAAACGTGAGCGATTTTGAGTATTGTACATGACTCTTTGCATAAATGTCATTCAACCTTCTTCGCGTTTCAGTGATTGGAATGTGTTGCACGCCGATAATTTTTACATGCTGCTGGAAATTCTTGTTTACGTTTTGTCTTATCCGAAGGATTTATCCGATCGGTAGACGCTGGTTAACTGCATCTTTTGCGCACTTCATAGCACACTCCGCCACTGCCGGTAAATGCCGATGACGAACCGGTTGCGTACACGCCAACTTCGTCAGGGGAGTGCGTTGGAAAGTACTGGGATGTGGGTAGGTAAATTTGTGTATTCCAGGTATAATGAAAGGTAGGAAAAGATTGGTGAGCTCGTGGGGCCGCTGGCTGGTGATACTGCGCAATCGGTAACATCATGCAATTGTTACCGGCCTTCCGTTGCGTCGTCTGGGGATTCCTGATGACTGAACTACATGGGCTACAGATGACCGTGGATTCAGCACGTTCGCAACTAGATTCCGACGGGGCGGTGTAGGTGGGCACGACGGGAGTCACGGATTGCGTGGAGACTGTCGTGTGTGACCTTTGTGGGGCGGTATGTTGTGGAAGCTTCGTCTTTAGACGGTTTGTCGCGTTCTTCTCCACAGCTACGATCGGTGTACGCTTTTTTATGGCGTTTGGAATGCGTCCGAGCTTCACCGCTGAGAAACAATCTGATTAAATCAAGAGTATCTGCCAGAGTAATTATGTACTTGCACTTGTATATAATCAGACAACGATTTGACGCGATTTGTTTTTTTAATTCTTGATTGTGCAATACCGGCCGTAGTGATATGCCTATTGACTGTTGTGTCGCGGTGTAAACATCATTAAAGATTATACTTTCATTTTGACGCGTTGTATAAGTGTACCGGCAAAATCCATCCATTTCGAGAATTGTTCATTAACCAAGAAATTTATTTGATGATTCCAATTAGCTTGCTTGCTTTGATGCAAACATCGTTTATGTTGCATTTTTGTAATAGCAGTATATGGCGAATTGCGACGTTATTGGTTCGCATTATTTCTGCATGAATGTTTAATCGGTAAACAGATTGACCTTCTCTTACCATCCAATGCCATTCCCGCTTGAATGCATCGGGTGAATCGGCAAGCTTTGCACCGGTTACGTGAATCCAGGGCAATTTCGCATTCGTGCCCAAAAAAGCAGCGAAAGGATCGGAAAACCGGTAGGCTACGCTTAAAAAAGCCTTATGCAATGTGAAGTCGTTACACACGGATACGGCTGGTAACACTAACCGTAAAAACTACCACTTCCAGTTTACGAATCAGTACGACCATCACTTAATCATGAATACATACATAGCGTCCAGTATAAACATATTTTTCCAGTTAGCTGCAGGAGGTTTTCAATAACTGACCATCGGTCAGTAGATTACATATGAAGTGCCAGTACAGATACTTCTACGGTACAAGTAAAATGTTTAATCCCACAGATTTATAACCTAGCAATCTTTCCCTTCCGTTAGGCTAAATTGTTAGCAATGTGGTGCTGTAGGTCTTAGACATAGAAGTGTTTTGGAATAAGTCTTGATTAGCAAATTCAATTTCTTAAAGATAAAATCCTCCCAGTTCTCAAGAAAGAACAGACATCGTGCGAAGTGTTCGCTGTGGCACTACTGAACATACATCCTTCGCAAGTGACTGCTCCATAATGATTACCAGTGGCTTTTGCTCCACACACCTACTCAAGCGGGGACACAAATTAACAGAATATTCTAAGTGGGATTCGGTTTGGCGATAGCGAAGAAGCAGTTGTTAACTCATTTCCATCGAAACTCCATTTTGTGCAGCTCCATACCTGACATTGGCCACAATAATATCGGCTAACTCTTCGATCTTTCGGACCATGACAATGAATTTCCATGTTCAGGTGGCAGCGTTAATTAGGGCAAAGCACTTAAAAATAAAGAAACCTGGTTAGTCAGTTACATGTACTTAGACACTATGCAGTCGCTTGCTCAGCAAGATATAATTTTCTCGTACAGTAGTATGTGACAGATTATGTTATTTCACTCAGCGGTCAAAATATCTTCAACGAAACACCAAAAACCGGCATTCCAGAAGCTGTTTGCTGCGCTTAGTACTGAAAGAAAATAGTTAGTGAACTCACACACTCTACTGTATTCATATTTTTAAGGGACATCCAGCGCCAACCAGTCTGAGTACGAACTCCGAGCGCATTTCACGGTGCCTGCCGAAGACAAAACTTCAGCCGGTCAAAATCATTATGATTGTAATGTTTGCAGTCTCCAGACAGCGGTTAGTTTGTGTACTGGCAAGCAGTGTAACAGTTAAAAAAGTGACAGGTGAACACCATGGCGCGAAGTCCAATAAACGCTCTTGTTTGAGCGAGTTACGGTACTACGGTACTACACTCCTGCTGGGTAAGGTACCATAACTGTCACACGAAGAAGGGAATTTGGGTTGTTTTATATGGCATAGTATCTGTATGTTCTTACTGGCTGCATCAGCGCCAGTGCACTATAAACCGTTTCATGTATTCGTTTAGCAACGCTAAGCTACCTGGCGTAGATTATACAGTAGGCGTTAACTGTTTAACTTGTTAACCTTTCGTATCCTGTACACGTTGTACACGGCAGAAATCCGGCACCGGCTGTACTGGATTGGATTGGCTCCAGTGGACGGCGAAAACCAGTCGGTCGATATTCTTAAAAGCTCAGGAATTATGATATTGCGTTCTAAGAATCAACCGGTGCCGACGGGGCGTAGCAAGATACCAATGCTCAGAGAATCTCCAGAAATGAATGCAATAATTATCGTCATGTCTGCGTGTTTACGTATGACTGCTTGATTTTCGGTTAGCTAAGCATAAGAAGTAGGCCAAAAACCGGATCGATACGTTTAGGAATTGTTGCAGAAGAAAATCTGCGCCGCACTTCATATAAGTGGCACCTGCAATGTTGTTACAAAGAAGAATCTGCGAAGAACCCGGCCATTGTAGAAGGAGTGGCGTAAATATACCTTTGTACTATGTGATTGGATGCGAATGCTAGGTTTTCGGTGTAGAAAAGAATTAAACCGCCGGGACGTTTGCGTTATGGGAACGTTATGTAGCAGAGGCAGTTCCTTTCGGGAGACAATATGCAGCGGCTGCGATTGTAGTTTCCAATCAGAACATAGCAGTCCATGTTAACGGTAACCGATTCCATATATCTCTTCTCGGAATCTTTACAACAGTAAGCCGATCCTGTGATTACGAACGGGATTCCTTTCTTATTCGATAATCGATGGTCGTGTTGTTAAGTGGAGGCCAATAAATAAAGGGAATCGCGGTGAATCCGAAAAAAATGTGCGTAGTTACGGCGATCACAACATCCACGGCAAGCTGATTTACTGCATCGTTGTACAAATTCTTACCATGACCGGCTGAAGCAGGGACCAGCAGCGAACACATTTGCACATACTCTAATTACGAGTAGAACAAGCAAATTTCCTCTTGGTTGAAGAACACTCTTCCTTCATTTTGTTTTGAAACAGTAACCGGTTTGGCTGTTGTTCTAGATTAGTGAGTTGGTTAATTTACCTTAACAGCTTTATCACGATTTGTCGGCTGTTAAGTATGGAAAGACTGGCACAATCGGCAGCGATACTGACCGGAAGCTGCCATAGAGTTTACACGGACGACAGCGATTGCTATGCACACTCATCCTATTTCGGTGATTCCCTTTTATTGGTCAAATCGAACTGAAATTACTGAGGAAAAAATTCGTAATTAAGGATTAGTAATCACTGACCATCCTTGGGGGCGAACAACCACTCACGCACCCCAATATTAGGAGGCCAGTTTTCAGGAGTAAACATTTTATCAGACTCATGAGCATAAGAACCAACACGTGCAGAAAGGCTATTTTTACGGCCCTTTTTAGCAGAGTAAATCGACACAAATCTAATAGAGATTCCGTTCGATTCAATGGCGCTCTGGAGATAAGCAACGTAACGCAGGATCATCGCAAGAGTTGATTAGCAAGAACTACTCGAGTAGTACTTATCTCAGTTATCTGTACACAAAAAGCAAGCTCATGAGCATGAAGCGCAAAAGCGCGGTGCGTGCATGATATCTAGATGGACCAAGATTCTGAACAAGCCGCAGCAGGACTAAATTCGAGGTGATTCTGACCGTGTTATGCGGTCAGCAAAATGCACGAAAATGTAGGAAATGTGTTTTCTGATCTTATAACGTAACAGCCAATGACACAGAATGAGAACTGGTGCGACGTTCCTGTTGGTGGACATTCTAATTTATATCGCTACAATTTTTGCTGTTATTAATTCTTTATGACGGTGAAGTAATACAGCAGCCAAGCCTGCTAATTAAGGTTCCGCAGGCAACGTTTATATTGTTATAAAGAAACCACGAAGCAGTGCTACATAGTACTTTACATTTACGTTACGTATTCCTCTGCAGCATTATCTTCCGTACAAGAATGATATCTATTCATTTTTTTCCAAACTGTGGCTTATTTGAGTACTTGTTCTACAGATGAAGAAAAGCGTTATTTGACTACATACTGTCTCCATTTTGGTTTAGGAAATCAGAAAAGGCGTAGCGAACCAGCTATGCTAAAAGTAAAATTATATTGTTCAAGATTTTTGTCGTTTGAGCGAGCTGGTTCAGGTTTTAGTCGTGTAATAATCGTGAACACAAAAAATAAAGAACAAGGTGACACTGTTTCAGAATCAGTATGCTAATGACACGGACAGGATCTGAAAGGCACGCAATTTCGAACGTTTTATTTGAGTGCTGTGACATCATACTAGTAAGTAGAAACTAATAAATCCGGTTTATAGAAGCGCCTTTCTTTTTGTCGCATAAAATGGGAGCACAGAGTTTCTCCACGTACATACAGTACGTACGCAAGTGCTCAGCATCTGTATAATTAAACGGACTACAAGTAATACGAGGTACGGTGTCGTTGTAAAGTTTTACCGATCACTGATCATTGCGTAGGATATTGCAGACTATGCTGTCATACGTGCCGAGTCCATATTCTTAACATTTTCACTAATCAATACCTGCAAGGCCGCACGTTATTAGATTCAATAGGAGTACAAGTACCTCATTCAAGAAAATCATCCGTGTTTCTTCAATTGTAACATTCAGTCGTTCTTGCTTGTTCAGAAACGGTGTTGATCTGGACGCATTTGGTACTCGTAGTCTAATAAGCTGCACATTCCGAGCGGATTCCAGAGTCTGTACTTGTAACGTTAACCTATATTGCCTGTTTCAGAACACTTCTATATCTTCAAAGAAATTAACCATAACCTGCAGAGAAATCTTGTGCTCCCATCTCCCATCTGTTACAACAATGTCCGACATCCATACCATTAAGGTCAGCATTCGGAAACCAGCTGGTGTTCTCCTGGTCCTGTCGGCTGTGGAAATCGCTCTCGGGATTGTGGCAATTCCCGCCAATGTTTACAATCTCCTGTTCGGTGAGCCGTAAACTGTTACACAGCTTCCGCGTTATTTGTAGCGAGAAATAACATTAATTCGTATTTGAGCAGATACCAGCGTAAATATATCTGTAAACGATAAGCTTACACGCTTCTACATTACATATATGTAAACTGTACACCGCGATGCAGTGTGAATTTGAACACTTTTATACAGTTAAATTTATTTATTTTGCATAGAGTTTAGTTCATATTCTGCAGTAGAGAAGGCCTCAATACGACTTTACTCTGATTTCATAGTGCATCTATGTACATACAGCAGCTATAGAACATCGTACCAGTAATCACACATACAACGAAGAACGCGATAAAAGCAGTGCCTTTGTACTGACGTATGGCGTTAAAAAAATTCCCTAACGCTTCGTACAGTCTCGAAGTCTCCTTGGAAATAGCTGCATAAAGTACTAATATTTCTTGTCACAGGTTGGCTGAACACTCCCGGACATTATCCGATTCTCCAGCTGGTTCTGCTGACCTTTAGCTTGGCGCTAAGCGCGTGGCTGCTGGTGGTTGGCGCGTCCGGTCTCGTGTACAGCGGACGTTTGCGAGCTCTCCGGCCCGGCTTTAAGATTGGCAGCCTATCCAACAACCTGATCATCCTGATTCTCGTGCATGCCTTGTACCTGGCTCTACTCTTCATCTTCTGGTACTTTATGCTGGCTGAACGGATCCACGCCAAACAGCTTCTGCGCACCATGCACGCTGTCACGGCCACGTTCTACGTCCTGGAGGCTGACGTCAGCGGATCACTGAACATGGGAGCACTGTTGCTGCTGATGATCGCTACGATTGTCGTTATGGTGGTGGCGCGCTGCTACTGCGGTACCATCTTGTCGGCGTTCGATGACATCCTGCGGTGTGAGCGTGAACAGCAGCAGATAAAGCTAATCAACGCTCCACCATTGTATTCCGCGGTGCCCCAAGAACCGGCTGAGGATAAGGTTTAAGCATCTGACCGGCAGAAATCAATAATAACGCGGTGGACGACGTAGCTCTTCTGATCAGTCACGCAGAAACACTAACTACAAGACAGTATAAGGATGCCACATCATTTACCGGCAATTTTGGCGCTAATGGCGTAACAGTTTACCTCATTGATTTGACTGCACTTGGCTTTCTCATTTCTGCAACAAGGGATATCTGCTTGCTTAAAACATGAAAAACTGTATTTATGGTCATTGCCATTGTCATTGAATTTCTTTGCAACCAGGGTTTCGTTTCCGTGAATCGATTTCATATGTGTCGATGTTCCTAAAGGATAAGTGAAACATATGTTCAATTCTTCTTTAAACTGATGCACATACAGAACCTGTATAACCAATAAATTATTCCTTCTATAAAAATAGCGCTGCCTCTTAAAGATGCTGTGCGTGTTGTTACAAGCCCGATTTTTAGATCAAAATACGCAGTCTAAGACAACCATGACTTCTCTTGGTAGAAAGTTGTTTGCATTATAGTCTGTTTGTAGACAATTTATAGTGTCCATCAACAGCGCTCTGTGAACATTTTACGTAATATTCGTACTAAAACTGCTAATAGTTTCGAAATTGTACTAATGTAGCGACGGCATTTAAATACGTCGGAGGAGGAGGATGAAACAAGTTAATAATGCATTTGGTACACGACTTAAGGTTGTTCTTCAGTATCTTTTAATAGCCGAAAATAAAATGCGTCCCTGCAATAACGGAAATTATCGATCCATGAAAGCGGAAGTCCAGGCTGTCTCGTTCAATCGTAATAATGCATGCACACCAACCAGCCACATACGAGAACAGTACAGTACAGTAATATCAGTTTCTCTCGCACTGTAACATAATTACCTGGACTTGAAAACACTGCAACCCGGATACATGCCTGATCAATAATTCCCTCGCGTGCCGCCTCTTAATCATAAGCCGCTGCATTTATTCGATGCGATTCCTTTGCGTTCTTCACGCACATACCTGGTTTTACTCAACATTCATCCCGGATCTTGTTCCGCGCACCGCTTGCTGCCGCTTTCATTAAATCTTTATTTGGTTCGACACGGAGAACCAAGATTCGCCTAATACAATCAACACGCTGCCGCGCCCTACTCGTAAGTTTTTGCTGCAGCAGTTCCTTTTGTACTGAATGGTTCAGATCTCCAGTTACACGGTATTTGCGTATAGATCCTCATTGGCAACAAACACAGCGTCATCATGGATTCAACCAGCCGGGTTTTTAAGCCAGCTGGTGTCCTTTTGGTGCTATCGGCCGTGGAGATCGTCCTGGCGGTGCTGACCATTCCGGCCAATTTCTATAGCCTGCTTTATGGTGAGCGCTACATTACTTTATAAAATATTTCGAAGCATATCCCACGTTCGGTGAACCGTAAATCCGTAATTCAGGCCTACATGTACATACCGCTATATTATACGCAAGCGATCTCCACGGTGATTAAATCAGCGGTGGTTATTTCCGATCATCGGCACCAATCGATTACATTTACCTTCCATACTGCAAACTATAAATCAGTGATTTCAGTTGAAGCTATATCTCATTAATACACGCTATATAGTGAGATTATTGTACATAGGCGAAAAAGTTGAAACCCTGAATCGTGGGTTAGTAAGCCGCTAGTTTACTGAGCGTTTTGATCGTCCCGACGTAAAAGCGTAAGAACCAAACCGAAATCGAATGAGAAACAGTTTAGCCGACTTCCGGTGAAGCTGGACACATGCTGCGTTCAGAACAATCTGGCTAAAGCAAGCAGAAACCAGATAGTCAACCGATTATAAAGCTTTAATTCCATTTCAGTGTGCGATTTGTTATATAAACACGAAAAATTACCAGATAAATAAAAGTCACCATATTAATATTGGTCTTTAGCCTATTAATTTAAGCAGTATTTGTAAGTAGCATTAGCGACCAAACAAATGAATGAATTGCTGCTACATAGGTTGGCTGTACTTACCGGGATTCTACCCGATTGTCCAGCTGATACTCTTCTGTATCAGCCTGGTGATGAGTCTGTGGCTGCTGGTAGCCGGCGGTGCCGGTATCCTGTACTGCATGCGACTGCGCGCCCTGCAAGGCAGTTTCCAGTTCAAGCGACTGGCCGGCCGGAACCTCATCGTGATTGTTCTGAATTCCTTCTACTTGTGCGCCCTGCTACTCTTCTGGTTCATCATGCTGGCCGCTCGCATTGACGCCAAGCAACCCCTCCGCAGCATGAACGCGGTCCAAGCCACACTGTGCGTCATGCAGGACGACTTGGTCAGCTCTCTGATTATGTGGGCCCTCGTCCTGATGGTGATCGCTACAATCGTCATTACCGCCGTGGCCCGTAACCTGTGCAACGATATCTGCTGCAATATCAAAGAAGTTGTGGACTCCCGCAAGTTCTGCCGCGAGGTTCGTTCGGGTGTCGCCGAGATTCTGCGGGAATACACTGAGAGTCGCCAGCCACCAAAGACCTCGGCAGCTCCTCCACCGGCATATTCCAAAGTACCTCAAGGGCTGCCCGACGCTAAAGTCTGACTAAAGCTTAGAGAAATCGGTACATGCGCTTTGTGGGTTTCGTTCCATAATAGTCATGATTGTGGTTCACGAAACTCATGACCATGTACAAATATGCTCGTATACTACACATGAGCATGCACGGATATTGCTTTATCGTAAATTTCAGGACGTCCATATTGGCATCGTAACATATGCATTACAACTTTTTGCAATCTTTCATTCTTATGGTTAATATTTTTATATGCTCTCTGTTAAGATTCGGTATACCTGTTTAAAGAGTTACTTGTATAATTATGTAATTTCTCAATGATAAGTGATAACCTCTGGATGCAGCGCTCTGTACTCGTATCTTAGCGGTTGCTAATAAAGGATATGCTGGTAATATTGAGTATGTCCACTTCTTTGGTGATTAAATTGGTGTTTTGATACAAGCACATACAATACGAACTCCACCAGACTGCAAGCGACATGGAATCGAACAACTATCTTCTCACATCTTAAGGTGCAACCATTGACTATGGAAAACATAAAACTAATGATGCCGTGTAACCTGACTGATCAATAACCCCATGCGCATCCGTAATTTGGCTGCAATTCCCTTGTAAATACTTCACGGAAACCACATCCCGCGATTCCTGGTCGTCTTCGCCAAACCGGTGCCGGATATAGACAAGCATTTGCCGTGCTGTCACTAATCAATATGGTCTACTCTTATAAATTCTAATAGTACCGGAAGAATTTCATATAACGTACTGGCAGCCTTTGTAGCTACTCGTACTTTCTCAACATTTTGCCGGAAAGATGAACGTCATGAACAATACGGTCAATACCTATAAAAATGATCCAATGGCGTATTTTTAAAATCGCTGGTATCCTCCTGATATTGTCGGCTGTGGAAATCTTCCTGGGCGTGTTGACAATTCCAGCCAACATCTACGGCCTACTTTACGGTAATGTGGGCTACTGCAATACTTTTAAATGTGTACTGTACTTTACCGGATTCAATTCGATATTATCGGTCTATTTCACATAACGCAAACTGATCCACACAACTGCACATATTATATAATTACAGCATATTTCTGTCGCTTCAACGACAACAAATGTAAATAGTAACCGATATTCTTTGTTGCAGGCTGGATGACCATTCCGTATGGCGGCAGCTATTTGGTTCTTCAGCTGGGTGCACTCAGCTTCAGCCGGGTACTCAGCATCTGGTTGCTGGTGGGCGGCGGCTCCGGCATCTACTACAGTTTACGTTTGCGCGCTCTCAAGGGCACCTTCCAGTTCCATAGCCTGGCCGACCATCACTGCATTCTGTTCCTTCTCCACTGCTTGTACTTGACGGGAGTGCTGATCTGGTGGTTCTTCATGCTGACCGAACGCATCGAGAGGGATAGACTTCTGCGCAATTACATGGACGCTGTCGCCGGTCATTTCCTGTCATGCAGGATGACTTTATCTCGTCAAATGTCATGGGTGCGCTGGTACTGCTGACGATCGCCTTGATAATTGTCATTGCGGCGGTGGCTCGAAATTTCTTCCAACAGATTAGTTCGCGTATGGAGGAGATACTGGAAGTATACGAGCATAAGGATCTGCTGACGAAAATCACCGCTCCCCCGCCGATGTAGTATGTCCAGTCGGTCATTGACTGCAGGTCAACCGTCTTTGGGAGCCGCCACGTTATACGTTGACCGTTACGACAATCAGTGGAACTGTTTTAGAGCATTCGCAAGCGGCCATGAAATGAATACTCGTATAATAACAATAGTCTGCAAAATTTAAATGGAGTACCAGCCACAATTGACAGAGAAGGAAAAGATGAGCGGTAGCTATATGTGTGCGAGCGGAGAAGCGGCTCACGAACAGCGACAAAATCTTTCAAATGATTTCAACGTATTGCGTCGTGGTGCAGTGGTACTGCCTACGCGGATCTAACGACGTAGCCGTGGTTCGATTCCCCCATCGGCGCCTTTTTCAGCCGTTTATCGGTTTCCAGTGGATAGCGCCCTGCTTATTTGTGTTTTATGAAGCATCTAAAATTCTGTGAGCATATTCTTTAATCTGCATAAGTACCCGTACTGAATTAAACACTTTCTACTTGTTTCATGTGGTTGGTCCCAATTTAAAACCGTTGTTAGCCCAATTTAAAACCTATCTCTCAACCTTGCTCTAAACTTAAAAATTCTTTCACACTCGCAGACGAACTGATGAGCGGCAACTTCACTGGTATTGTACAGCGGTACTCGTACTAATAGTCTAATAGATGAACAGCCAGTAAAACAACCAAAAATACTTGCGCGATTGCACCGTTTAGAACATTTGAAAACTAATCAATAAGAAACTTCGAAGAAACTCGACATACCAATGAGTGCGAGTTTAATTGTTCCCTTGTCGTTAACAAAATGTTACCGGTGCTAATTTACAGCATTATAGCAGTTTGAATTTGACGGTTTTGGCGTCATTGCGTAACTGCCCCGGTCTCACTTATTGCAGTTGCAAGAATAAAGTCAAACTTGGAAACATTCGATAAAAAGTTACATACTTGTATATTAAGTGTCTTGACCACTGGTATTTAACTGGAAATGGGAATTTATGAGTAAATTTTTATGAGTGTAGCTTATGATTATGTTTATGAATTATGTTTGAATTCTAACACGCATCTGCCACAAATCCCGCCTCATTCCACTAAACTTGAGATTGTCGTCTAGATGACCGGTCAATCGGTACTGCGAGTACGATACGGTTTCAGTCGAATTTATTTGGCTTTGCCAGCAGTTGTGTCAGAAAACAATCGACAATGAGGTGAAGATGCTTCGAAATGATCATGCTTCGTTAGCGAGACAGAAGGGTATAAATGCGGATTTCACGGAGTTGCGCTATAACAGCACTGAAAAAGATGACTGTTATTACTCTGTGCCTCTGCATGACATTGGACAGCCTGCACGCAGCCTTTGTATGATTTTATCGATACTTTTGCTTAATATTGAAGGCTCAGTTGCTGCGGATTCCAGAGCGTTTGACTTGACCTATTAAGCGTCCGAGTTCTGTTTTGATTTGGCCTATACCTACCTGAGCCCACATGTTTTCTGGCTGAATCTGCTCGGCCTGCAGTCTGCCTTCGACTTCCAATGATTCAAATAACGGCTACTCCAGATAAAAGAAATAATCACTGTGGACTTCTGTTCCGCCCTGGAACAGTTATTTAATATTTCAACCTAACCGATTTTTGTTGATCTTGCAGAATCACTGTCAGTTCTGCCACACTTTAGTCAGTTAATGCAAAGTTACGTTACAAACCGAATTTCCGCACAACATCCTGTATTGCGACTATCGCCGGCATTAATATATTAATTCGAATGACCATGGCGACGCCTTGGACGTCTTGGTACGACTTAATAACGTACGCTAGATCCGCAACGGCTCTCAGGTCTTTTCCAGTCCGCATCATCGACATGATACCGCCATTACGCTATTATCGGGAGTTGCGCTCGGTTGCGCGCCAAATGAACTTTGGGAATACGGTGCTGGTGCAGCGCGACACCGGCCAGTGGTGGCTGGGATACGTTCAGGATATTGACGGCGATTATTTCTTCATTGACTTCGATGCCACCACAATCACTGCCCAGTGGATTCACTCCCAGCACCTCTGGCCGCATCATTTTCCCTTTTTATTTACTGCACGCCTATTTCTACTCCCGCCCGTGCAGGCGGCACTGCGGGACGAAGTCGGAGGACCGTTCGTTTTCCGGCTTGCCACTCTTGCTGAGACTCACTACTGCATGTTCTGCACTGTCAAAACCAACCTGAATCCCCAAAGTCAAACCATTCCACTTGAACGCCGCGTTGCGCCCCTGCGCCACCTAGCCACCAAGTTACCGCAATCTAATGGGGAGCCATCCTTTTTCGGCAAGGTACACGGGCTCGTGTACAAAAAGCATGTCATCCCTTTCGACCAGGCACATTTGATCCGTGATGTCAATTATATGCCCGAATTTCTGGTGCGCGCTTGCCAGTTATTGCCCGGCCCTGGTGACCCGTGCAAAACTAGTTGTGGGTTCGAAAGGATTGCTGGACCGAATACATTTTTTTTCCACTGCCTGAGTCATACAAGCGTGGTTTATAAGTTCGATAGCAGTTGCCATGTGTTTGCGCGGGCGGGATTCGACACGATGACCTTCATCTGTGCTGAAGTGCACGGTGACGCAGCCGGGCGCAGCATGTTCTGGAGTGAAGCATCTCTTAAGAAAGTTTGTCGACGTTACCTTGCCGAACAACTTTCAAGGGAGTCTACACAAACTGGCAAGTTCGAGGCCAAGAACGTGACAACGGTCGCTTACCAACACGGTAAGTACAACATGGACTACCTTAAAGTTTTCAACTAAATAGGTATTTTGCAGAAATGGACGAAATGCCCATCTTCGGCCTTCCGGCTGCGATCCTTACTAGTGTATTCCACAGCCTGGATATCATTTCTCAATTACGAATGAATCAGTACGTTTTAGTAACACCATTTAGTATTGTCAGCAGGAGCAATGAATAGGACATGTTCGTGTTCCGCAACCACCACGATAATGACATTGACCTGTGAACCAGCAAGTGTGCCATGATGCGTTGTAGAGTAAATTTCGCACAATTCTGATTTTCTTCTTGGTTTTTCTTGATACTACATCTTCTCGCACTTACCTACGTAAATCAGTCGATAGTTATTACGGGCAATGAAGTTCATCACAGTGTCTGTGAAAATGCAGAGTCGTTTAAGTGTACAATGAAGGTGTTTGGGGTTAACGGTAACGAGTTAACGGTAACCCCTACGTGGGCACTATCAGCTGTGGTTGTAAATTCCTATTTCAATCCACCGTAAGCACTACTCTAGGACAGTATGTTACGAGTAGTTATATATCATCCTCGTATGGGATGATTTCAGGGTGTGCGCATTGTGGAGGCTGATTTTGCGTGATTACGTCAGGAATCGCTATGTCACCTTTACCATCTCTCCACTGCTTCCCACGGGACACTGGGATGGCTCGATAGATTATGCTCTGAACGCAGTCACAGAGTACAAACTCATAACGATGCTGAAGCAAACCCTTTCTCACGAGACACGCGTGGTGGCGTTGGTCGAGGAAAGAATGCCTGACGACAGGCGGTATGACAGAATGGGGCAGGATTTCGCTGCAAAAATGTCTACAGTTTTCCTTGAACTGAAAAGCAAGTCTATTCGCTTGCAGCTGTTCATCGCTAAGAATGGCTACGAGACC